TGTATGATGAACATCATTTCCCGACATCTGCCTCAGATGATCGTGCAACACGTGCCCTCGACGAAGAAATGAAAAAGCGAAAAGATTCGTGGCCCGTCGGCACCTGGTCATGCGAGATCGAGCGTTTCTCGAGATCACCCGAGGTTTGAATCGGATCTGCAAGCTCTTTGGGTTGGCTTGGAAGGATCCAAAAACCCATCAGGAGTGATTGTCTTGGTGGCTGTACAGGGAGGGAAGATTTGTCGAGTGTGCCGGTGTCAGTCCGAGATCGCACCAGGAATGCTGATGATGAAGCTGAAAGACATGCGAATGGGGACTTTCAAGGGCATGACGGCATTGAACAAGAAGGACCCGTCCCGCAGTGTATTTAGCGGCAGTCGTTCCTGCAACTTCATATTCATGGTGAATCAGCGTCTCTCCACATGTGTCTGCCAGATCCAAGACTTCGCCAAGAGAAATCGCCTGGACGCACAGGCTGCTGTAAAGCTGGCGGAGGTGCCAAGATAAGAGGGAATGCAGCCAGAGTCTGTCGGTGTTCAGTGGATCTGAGAAGTCGGCACACCGTCGGCGAACGAAAACAGCAAAGGCAACTGATAAGAGCGTAAACGCTTCAGCTTCAACCCGAAAATGGTCGATGTAGGTGATGGAAAACCGTGACGATGTGGACGGGGACCTGATGAAACTTGCGAAGCCGCAGCCCCAGATCTTTATCCAAAGGCTTATGTGCTTTGTGGAACCGTGCTTGACACAGCTTTGGGGCCTGGAAGGTTTCCTGAGATTTTCGCAACTCGTAAAGACTGCATTGATTCCAGTCCCGTGGTTTCGATTGCCGGGAAACTTTCCGGGCTCGTAAGTGGCATGTCTCCACCAATGCGGAAGCGAGGCATCTCGAGCGCTCCAACAAGCCCTCCTCCCTGGTCATGATGATGCTCCGGGACCTCCGCGAGGGGAAGCCCGTCAAGGAGCGGCGTAGAGTCAGTAGATTCGGGATCTCAGCTCTCATCCC